CCAGGTCCGTACTATGAAGTTAATAGCGTTTAGAATAGATTTAATGGTTTGGATCGTTATATATGTTTATGCTATAATTTGGCTAAATTGGTTAATTGAATTAAATTGATTATTTGAATTGAATTGTTGAGGATTGTGAATTGACTGAACAGGTTTGACTTTTACTTGGGTTAGGTCATGTTTGACTTAGGCTTTGACTGGATATTCTGTCGACGTAGGTTTGACCGAATGGTTAAACCCAAGACTTTAATGAATTAGTTAAGTTAATTAATTAGTTCCAATCAGTGATTAAGGTCAATGGGTTTATTATGTCGAACATAGAAACTGGCCATTGCTCGAGCGGCTGCAGGGCCTGGTCAGTGAGGTTAAGACGTGCGCACGAGGGTCTGTGATCTTGGGTTTGAGGCTATCGCCCAAGGGATCCTACCTCCACCGAATTGAGGCTATCTTCGGTATTACGGATTGAGGCTATCTCCGTCATAGGCATTAAATGTTAAGTGGTTTGACTTTGGTGAAAGTCTAAATTGGTTTGACCGGTGGTCAAAGAGTTCATGAGAAACCCGTAACACCTAAATCGTTTTGAAAAGAAAGAAAATAAGTTGACTGTTAGTCAACCGTCTAAAGAACCGAATTTAAAGTTGAATTGATTTTTATCAAAAGGATAATCATATGCACGATCTAATCATTGAATTATTATGTTTATTCTTGTGCTACAATGGAGTGCCACTCAGCGTCAATGCTGAGCGGATAGCGTTGTTTTCCTTTTTGCTGTCCGTAGGTGATCAGACAGATGAACCTAGAGCCGATCCCAGAGGGCATTAAGGAGGAGATGTACGATGGCGTGGCTGTCTCTTTAATCTGTTGATTATGCTTTATTTAATTAACTTTAATGCTTATTACGTTTTCGGGCAAGATCCCAAGTTGTTTGACTTTAAAAAGGCTTCCGCATTATTTTAAATTACTCCGATGGATTTTTATATGTATTGAAAGAACGTTTGTTTAAAATTGTTTTGAAAATGTTG